CGCGACTCTGTATAGATAGACTGGTCAACCTTTCCTGGCAGTGCAAAATGGCAATTTTTTCAACTTGTCCCATTTTCAAAGCTCTTGTAGAAATTCTGTGGTGACCTAGAGTATCCCTTGTTCAATATCTTGTTCATGCATTTTATCACTTGCATATGTTCTGCAGCTTAGGGTTCATGGGGATCATAAATCTTGACAAGCATCTTGTGCCATCCTCATGGCCTAGTCCAGGTGTCTCAAACACTCGGCTCGCGACTCTGTATAGATAGACTGGTCAACCTTTCCTGGCAGTGCAAAATGGCAATTTTTTCAACTTGTCCCATTTTCAAAGCTCTTGTAGAAATTCTGTGGTGACCTAGAGTATTCCTTGTTCAATATCTTGTTCATGCATTTTATCACTTGCATATGTTCTGCAGCTTAGGGTTCATGGGGATCATAAATCTTGACAAGCATCTTGTGCCATCCTCATGGCCTAGTCCAGGTGTCTCAAACACTCGGCTCGCGACTCTGTATAGATAGACTGGTCAACCTTTCCTGGCAGTGCAAAATGGCAATTTTTTCAACTTGTCCCATTTTCAAAGCTCTTGTAGAAATTCTGTGGTGACCTAGAGTATTCCTTGTTCAATATCTTGTTCATGCATTTTATCACTTGCATATGTTCTGCAGCTTAGGGTTCATGGGGATCATAAATCTTGACAAGCATCTTGTGCCATCCTCATGGCCTAGTCCAGGTGTCTCAAACACTCGGCTCGCGACTCTGTATAGATAGACTGGTCAACCTTTCCTGGCAGTGCAAAATGGCAATTTTTTCAACTTGTCCCATTTTCAAAGCTCTTGTAGAAATTCTGTGGTGACCTAGAGTATTCCTTGTTCAATATCTTGTTCATGCATTTTATCACTTGCATATGTTCTGCAGCTTAGGGTTCATGGGGATCATAAATCTTGACAAGCATCTTGTGCCATCCTCATGGCCTAGTCCAGGTGTCTCAAACACTCGGCTCGCGACTCTGTATAGATAGACTGGTCAACCTTTCCTGGCAGTGCAAAATGGCAATTTTTTCAACTTGTCCCATTTTCAAAGCTCTTGTAGAAATTCTGTGGTGACCTAGAGTATTCCTTGTTCAATATCTTGTTCATGCATTTTATCACTTGCATATGTTCTGCAGCTTAGGGTTCATGGGGATCATAAATCTTGACAAGCATCTTGTGCCATCCTCATGGCCTAGTCCAGGTGTCTCAAACACTCGGCTCGCGACTCTGTATAGATAGACTGGTCAACCTTTCCTGGCGGTGCAAAATGGCAATTTTTTCAACTTGTCCCATTTTCAAAGCTCTTGTAGAAATTCTGTGGTGACCTAGAGTATTCCTTGTTCAATATCTTGTTCATGCATTTTATCACTTGCATATGTTCTGCAGCTTAGGGTTCATGGGGATCATAAATCTTGACAAGCATCTTGTGCCATCCTCATGGCCTAGTCCAGGTGTCTCAAACACTCGGCTCGCGACTCTGTATAGATAGACTGGTCAACCTTTCCTGGCAGTGCAAAATGGCAATTTTTTCAACTTGTCCCATTTTCAAAGCTCTTGTAGAAATTCTGTGGTGACCTAGAGTATTCCTTGTTCAATATCTTGTTCATGCATTTATCACTTGCATATGTTCTGCAGCTTAGGGTTCATGGGGATCATAAATCTTGACAAGCATCTTGTGCCATCCTCATGGCCTAGTCCAGGTGTCTCAAACACTCGGCTCGCGACTCTCTGGGATGCGGCCCTCAAGCATCCCGCAGCTGCAAGCCCTTGTTCCCATGCCTCAGGCGTCACATGCGACATAAATAATAGTTCTATGTTGTCGATTCATTTCCGCTCAAAAAAACAGCTCTGAGCCCCTGCACAATGGCGGAACTGCATCGTGGAACGTGCAAGTCATTCCATAAGATAACGAACGTCGGAGCACGGACAGCACTATGAGCCGACAAGCCAATCCAACAGCGTAGAAAGTGCAACATCACTGCCGTCATCACCTTTTTCTGTGGGTGCGTTTTTTCCAGTGTGCCGCGACGTTGAGGTTTGTCCGCCATTGTGCAGCGACCTAACAGCTGCCAACAGGGGGCAGTATATTGAAGGGGTGTACAACATTTATTTTTTTACCAATTGGTATTGCTTCGTTTGAATATTGGCCTCTCAGCCCTTTCTCATGTAAATCAACCGGAATGGCTATACCACTATTAGGGTATACAAGTGCGAGTTCTTTGCTCATGGAGGCACCTCAGCTGCGTGAACTCTTGCACAGCAGGAGCAACGGCCAAAGACAAAGCTACGAGCTGTGGCTTCTAGCTGTCGGGTAATAAATTTGAATAGAAAGTATTTTTTTTTATAATGCTGCCATAAAAATTGTCAGAAAATCAAACACTGCCATACGAAGAGATATGTTCTCTATGCCTGTTGAGCCTAGTGAATTGTGCATAGGACAAGCCAAGTATGGTGTGCCTACTCATTCTATTGAAAACTGCCAGTACTGTTATGATGGTGTCTGCAAAGCTGAAGAGGGCAAAAGTATGAGCTTGAAAAAACCATAAAGCATAAGGTTCCTTGTTTAAAAAATCTCTAGGGTGTCGCTGGTACAGTCAGCTGCCTTGCAAGATGAAGCATGAATGCTGTTCAATAGTTTATTTGTTTGTCCCAAAATAGCAAAAGATTGCCCCCACCTCTGTTGGCCCTCGCCGTTCCAGGGGTAGGCTATCTGGCCCTCACATTCAAATGAGTTTGAGACCCCTGGCCTAGTGCATGGTCAATCTTTGCGGTGCAGAGTCATGTTGTACAGTGGTGTCATTAGGGACATTTTAATGTATAATTTGCAGGAGCATACCAGGGACTTCATGCCGATGCTTGCCGACATAAAAAAAGACCTTGTTGCTGAAGCGCATGACAGTGAGGCTATGAGACAAGTTTTCAAAGAAGAAATTAGGCCTGCATATTTTATTCTACAGGGTGTTCTTGAGCGGTATCCGGGCGTAAAGAAATTTGTATAAACGAATGAATGGAGTGCATTTAAACTTTTTACAAAAGTGTCTTTAGATGGGGCACTTATATACTAAAACCAAGCGTACGAAGGCAGGGACGGAGCACTCTGGCATGCCAAGGCATAGGCTTTGATGACACCGCGTTGATTACGCCGCAAGACTTTCGTTCAATGAGCTGTGCCTTTTTCCTGCGGTGCTGCGCTTTTGTAAAAATTTACATGTTTTCAAAGGCAACTATGACCGCTTACACAAGGTTTTATAAAACTTCTTCAGCGAAGGACGGAGAATGAGCAGAAAACATGTCGTTCAGCACGCATCCGCCCAGCCTCTGCGACGCTCCAAAAGCTAGACTTCCGGTACCTCAAAGATGTCCGATACGGAAATTTACATGATGCCACCATAACTGTAGTTCACAGGGGACAGGCGCCACCAGTGCATGGCACGGTTCGTACTGGGCTCGCATTAGCTCCAGTGGGGTTGTCGCATGTGCAGTAAGACTAGTTCCCATGACCCATGCTGGCAGTGGCGGTGTAACAAGACTGCTTCAAGTCTTCCTAAAATTGACTGATTTAGGTGTATTCGATGCCGCTCAGCAAGTTTTTGACCACGTTTATTTTAACCATGTTTACCATGTTTATTTTAACAGAACCATGTTTATTTTAACAAATTAAAAAATTGGTATATGTTAGGTAATTTGGCTTTATTTTTTTCCTGACATTCACCGTAGCTGGCAGTTTGTTGGCATTTTTTTTTTCTGCACCACCTTTTTTGTAAGGATGAAAGTATTTGCAGAAACACCCAGTATAGATAAAAAAAAAAAGTCACCTGCAATGGGAACAGTGGATTCTGAAAGTAGCCCAATTCAGCATGGTTCAAACTGCGCTTTAACCATCTTTATTTCCAATCTCTTGCTGGAACAGCTGTCAACCTTCAAGCCTTATTAACAAGCCATATGCACAACCAGATCACAATATGATCAATAAACAGGTGGAGATGGCCAAGATCCTGTTTGGTATGAAACTGCAGCTAAGTAACAGTACTCACATTGAAAATCAAGCTAAAATGCTTGTTAATCCTTAAGGAAACTGAGTTTCCTTAAACGTTTAAGGAAACTGAGTTTCCTTAAACGAGTCTTAAAATTTGCATCTCCTGCCACTAAATTACTAGCCTACAAAACTTTAATACGTCCTATGCTCGAGTACGCCAACGTCGTCTGGTTTCCCCACACAGTCTCCGGCATCAATAAGATAGAAAGAGTTCAGAGAATGGCCGCGAGGTTTATTTGCAATAAGTATAGTAGGCACGTCTCTCCCTCTGAACTTTGCAGGCAACTGGGTCTCTCCTCTTTAGAAAAAAGAGCAAAAACAGCTAGACTTAAATTTCTATACGAATTAGCCAACGATCATTTCAACCTACCAAAAGAAAATTATCTTATCCATACAAGCAAACGATTAACACGGTACAACCATGGCAAGCTTTACGAGGAAGACGTCGCTCATAATAACTGCTTTAAATTCTCTTTTTTTCCCCGAACCATTAACGAATGGAACCACCTGCCTCAAAACGTTGTTCATTCCTCTTCTATTGAAATCTTCCTCGATTACGTAGATGCCCACTTTTCATCATAAACTAACATTTTATGCTGTTTTTAAAAGTGCAGTGTATCTATTGTATTGAAGTTGTTTACTAATTTTTCATTCGCGACTTCTATATTTGCTTTGAATATTTACCTGCAAATTGTGTGTTGAATATTATTTTTCTGCTTGTAATATCTCAAACTGTACCACCCTACAACAACCCCGAATGGGGTTAGTAGTATTGGAAATAAATAAATAAATAAAAATATTGTTTTTGGGTTGAACGGGTCGTTCTTTTTAAATACCCTCATTCTTCCCAATATAGCAAGATGTCTTCCAGTTTAGTATCTCGAAGATCACTCGGCCGATAAAGGCAGACCTTCAGTTTCCAAGGTGTATTTAGTGGTATGTTCAAAACGTGTTTATTTTCTTCCACGTCACTTTGACGTGGCAAGGTAAAAAAATGCTCAACACAAGTCGAGCATGAGGCAATGCTCTACACCCAATTCACAAACGTTGGCAGGATTGGCCTGGCTGTCCGTTCTTCCTAGACTGGCCAATGAGTGCTCAATAAAGTCCAGTAGAAGTTGATAGCTCAGCGATGACCACTGGTGGAATTTGCAGATCTCGAGGTGGCTCGTGTTCACCAGGAAGAAATCGCCGAGCCCAGGGTCTGAAAGCAAGCCAGGTTGAGAACGTCACTGGCTTTGCACAATTGTTTCCAAGCAAAACAACATGCGAGCACAGACTGCGTCACACATATCTAACCAGGGTTAGGGAATCTCGCAAAAAATATTGCCAAATAAAAAAATCTGATCTGTAAATAGAAGACATGCATGCTCAAACAACATTTTCCGAGGAGCAACTTGCCCCGTAGAGGAGGCCCACATACCTTCTGGCTTCCCCTTTTCTCTAGACGTCATTATAAGCACATTTAATAGAGGGCTCTGTGTCGGTTGTGGCCTGCCTGGCATAATACAACTTAGGTGTACTCAATAGATGAATTATATGACCTATCTGTCATAATTCAATGTAGGTACTATAAGTATACTAGTTTCATGAACCAACATATAATGCAAAGTAGCTTAGTAAAAAGGTAGAACGCTGCTATGTTCCTTTAGAAGACATAGTACAAAACTTACGATCGGGGAAAACGTAACAACTGAAAGCGCTCTTGGGGACGCTGTATATGAGGGGGGAAGCAACTTGTATCCAATAGCATTACATACACAGACTTTCACAGCTGTGGAGAGCTACTGTATTTATTCAGATACAAGCAAACATTTGTTTCTAGGCACAGTTCTTTAACCCCTTGCCTACTAATAATGCGTGTCACTCGTGCCGCCCCTTACGGACCATAAAGCCTGACCACCAAGTGTGACTCGCGTTTCGCTTTCGGCGCTTATTTAGAGCACTCTCTGGCAGATGGCAAAACCACCTTTAATGCTCCAGTTGCCTTGGGCAGTTTGCTCGTTTGTGTTCCTGTTTGACAGAAAAGGAACGCTTCATTTAGCCAAGAAAAAAAAAGCAGTCGCCTGTGGGCGTTCAAGCTAAAACAACATGTCTTTGACGCGGAGGCCCGCTTTAGCCGACAGAGATACAAAACCTTCTTTTTAAAAGGGATTAATGCTTGGGCGTATGTGACGACGAATCCTTCGGCCTTTCCAATTTTTAGGAATCGGATGATAGTTGTATGGGCAGTGACAGGAGTGATGAAACTGATGTGAATCCTGCAAGCATTCCATCAACTTCGGTGTCTGCACGTCGGTGGGACTTGGACCAGAAGTTCTGATTTAGAGCAAGATATGACACCTGAAAGTCGAGGAAATATGTTTGTCTTATTTTAATGCAAATTGCCTGTTTAAAATACGATTATGCTGTACGTTCCTTAAGAAAAAAAAGATGAGGAGGTAAGGGGTTAGGGGGCCGACCATCCTACATTCGTAAAAAAAAAAACGTCGACTCGCAAAAGTTTGGAAGCAGCACCCTCGGAAGTTTCGTGAGAATGTTTAGAGGCGTACGCATGCTTCGGCATTACAATTGCCAATAACTTGTCTCGAGACCCCCCAAATTGCCTTTGTTACCTCAAAAGCTACAAACAAACTCTGGTAGTTAAAACAAACACCGAAACATCTGAAATTAAATTACTGCCGTATAAATATGCTTAATTTTATGCAGTTTAATAAAACATTAATTATTGTTTTATATGGTTACGGCATTAGCATATTGCAGTTCTAAACTGCCATACGGGCGGCACAATTTATCTTTAATAAATCTGGATGACATGACTCGATTAATGAAACACAAATTTAACTCCTGTTACACACTGCGCAAGAATTTATAGTTTGAAACCCTCTGCCAAGTCCTGACGGGCAGTCACCATACCAACACCAAGAGCCTGCGAGGCTGCTTCTCCACAAGAACTAATGCTAGGGCTTCCCACTCAAGAAACGTAAACAACTTTCAGCTTCGCATCGATTGATTAAAAAAAGTGTTTTTTCCTCATACAGTACGAGAGGAATAACCTATACATACCAGTATCACTCATTCAATTAACAAGACATTTTCCTACACCAGCTGGCCGCATCATAGTTAAATTACTTAAAATTCACTCTGGTAGCATGTATTTAGTACTTGTACCAGTGTTATTCAATTGTCTCTACTACTCCCCTACTACAGTGAAACCCGTTTAGAACAAACCCACGTACAGCATATTATTGTTGATATCGAACTCACGAAAAATTTAAATAAAAATGTATGTAAAAAGTACTTTTTATAATGAACAACATATTGGCTATATCATACTTTTTCTCCCGGAAAGGCTTCTAAAAACGCGCAAACAATCGTCTTCTAGCCTGTCCCTCCCTCCCTCCCTCCCTCCCTCCAAGAGAGCAAGAGGAGGTCAACATGGTACAGAGCCTTCCCCGAAAGTTACGCAGAAGCTTCCCCCCTTAAAGAACACATGCAAAGGAAAAAAACATTTTTTTTAGACAGCTTAGATGGAAAAAGGATCTCATAAAACGATTTTACAATGAAGAAAAAAAATTTTTAGAGCTATATTTACGGCGCTATACGAATTTGTAGTTGGCGCTCGTGGGAGCCGCCGCTGGTCACGTGGTAGGCCCGCGCGCCGCCGCGCTGCGTCGCCGCCGCACGCTGAGCGTTGTGCGAACGCCGCTTCAACGCGTTTCTCCACGCCGCCGTCGCCGCCGCCGCACAAGTTTGCCTGCTTCGGGGCGCCGCCGCTGTCGTCTGACCGGTGCACAGGTCTATCACGTCTGCTTGCGCTTTTTCAGGAGTTTCCTTTGGGCTCTAAAAGTTACTTAGTCATCTTAGTTTTTTGTTATACTTCAAACAAAGATGAATAAGTTACTTTTAGAGGCCATAGGAAGCTTCCGAAAGAACGCAAGCACCACGTGATAAATAAGGACCAGTCACGTGATAAATACGGACCACTTTTACACGGTACCCGCGGGCGCCGACTACAAATTCATTTTGCGCCGTAAATATAGCTCTAAAATTTTTTTTTCTTCGTTGTAAAATCGTTTTATGGCGTCCTTTTTCCATCTAAGCTGTTTAAAAAAAATGTTTTTTTCCTTTGCATGTGTCCTTTAAGAAAGGTGCAAAAGTGCACGCTCACCTGCAGACTCCTTGGGTACCAGCACTTTACCCATTCGCAATCCTAAGACTGTCTGCACGCATTCTCCGAAGCTCAGGCAAGGGATTTTCAAACGGTCCACCAGGAGCTCGAACTTGCGGTGCATTTCCAGGAGCTTTGGAGAGTCTGCAAGCATGGGTCAAAGTCAGCAACCCGGGACGCGTGCCAGGCGCCACCGGGCACTACGACAAACTCGGTTAGAAGGGGGGCCTCTGTAACTCGGTGGTTTAATGCTGCAAGCCTAAAGAAACTTCTTCCTGCGGTGCATTGTAAGCACATGGCAGGGCCGTGCCTATGACCCCGGGGCTTTGGAAGGTCACTGACAAGATGAGAGCAGCAGAGCGGCCCTTTCGAACGTCCAGCACGTTGCCTTTCGCACTGCCTTGGCTGGGGGAGAAAGCTCGAGGCGATAGGCCTCAGCCTGGGAGTGATCTGACCCGAGCCCTCGGGCACACCTTTGCGCAGCTCCTGCAGTTCGACCGAGGGCAGCAGCAGCAGCTGGAGGCTGGCACTCAGGTCCGTCAGGGAAGCCCCTCGGTGGGGGACCGCGTAGAAGACCATGCCCGCCGTCTGCCGGGCTACTGCCTCGTTCCTCTCCATCGCCTGGCACAGCATCTGCTTTACCAGCAACCCTGCACCATATGCTGCACTGTGCAACAGGCTTCGCAGCCCACATGTCTCTGCTAATGCGAGGCACGACTCCCAGTCTGACCCACGCCCAAAGCTCAACGAGAAACTCGAGTCATAAATCGAACCTCTTTAAAATTTTATATCGTGATGTGTAGCTCTTACTATGTAGAACAATACTGCTTTCCTATCGACTCTTACGGGCTTTTCAGGCTTTTTCTGTGCCAAAGCGAGAAAAATGCAGGTTATGCCAAAAGCTGTTGTGGTACCCGAGTTAGGACAGACAAGAAAGGAGGTTCAAATGAAGTATGAGGGTAGCAGGAGTTGGTAGCAAGAACTGAGAAAGGTTTACCCGCAGTCTCGGGGTTTTTTCAACCATGAGAAAGGAACTTCCTGGAAACTGTAAGCTGGTAGCTATGCCCGATACTAAAACGTCGACTGCAATCTGAGGCTTCCAGGAGGTTCTTTTTTGAGAAGGAAGGTGACCGTTCCAACTTCATTCCCAATCCCTGGTGCGTAACATTAAACATTCCCATTGCCCACAGCGAAGTCTCACTGCATGCCATTATTTAATGTTCGACCGAGGCAATGTATACACTGCGACAATGTTAGTGCAAGCAAGCCATCACTGATTTTTTTGGTTTTTCTCTCAGTATTGTAGGAGTCATAAAAACTACTATAGTGCTGGAAAGTGCTCAGGTGGGGTACCAACTTAGGTAAGTAGTAAATTTTGATGCCTGCCAGTATCCTTCGAAGTAAAATGCGAAAAAGCACAGAAGTCGTGTGGATGCCAACAGTGAGTAACATTGTCTACATTAAAGGGACACTGACACCCCCCAAAATTTTTTTTTAATTTTTTTGCCAGGCGCTTCATTATGGTGTCGGAGGACTACCCAATTAATATTTTGCAACAGAGTAGCGTATTTTTTTAATAAAACCAAAAGACGCAACTGCTCGAAACCGAAACCGAAACCCGACGGAGGTCGGAGAAGTGGAGAGAAGAGAGTGAGTGGCGGAAGTCACGTGGCTACACCCGACCGTGTGTTTTTTTTTTTTTGTTTTTTTTCTCCTTCCCGGTAGCAGACGACATGCGGCGTATGGGAACTGCTCGCCGTCGGATTCTTTTGCAGTTATGTATGTTCCGCTCGTTGTTCTCTACTGCAAGATGAGTTGTTTTGTACATTGAGGAGTTGGAGAAGAGTAGTGAGCGCCCGTGGTGAATTTTGATCGGCTCCGAAAAGAATACACCCAAGATGTTGCGTGAAGAGCTGGCTCACATGTCCCGCGTCCGAAAGAGAAGTGGCATTGTGCGACAGAGTTTCCGAAAGATTAACGGGATCGGGACCAATGGCTGGCTGCAATTCCTGTAGACCATTTACGGGCACCTCGGAAAGCGGACGCTACCTGATTTATATGCTCCTTGCATTTTGTGGAAAGTGATTACATTGAGTTCGCAGGTGTCAAAAAGGATATCCCATACCATTTAATTCAGCGAAGTATCGTCCACAACATTTGTTTCTTATTTTCTTTTGTTTCTTCAGTAATAATTGTAAAAAAAAAAAAAGAAATGTAGACATCAGAAAATATTTTGAAAAAAAAAAAAAAAAAGTTTCACAGGGGATTGAACCCGGCTCTATCGGGTGTGAAGGAGACGTCTTTCCCACTGAGCTACTGGGGCATATCGAAAGTGGGGTACCTTTTTCCTTGGTAATAATTCAGCCGATAAACTAAGTTGGAAAGTTTGCTGTCGATTTTCCTCTAGCAAAAGCACTCCCGGGTCGAAGTCGGGATGCACCATGCATTGGCGACATTCTCACCTAGTAAAGAAATCGTACGCGTGCATATTCCACTCGAAGTAGACACGTCGCGCTTGACGTTTGCGCGAGCGATGTCTTCAGCCACAAGAAGGGAGCGACGGCTCGGCGACGTCTTCGTGCAAATCGGCTTGGTGGTCGGGCGTGTCGTACGGGATGAATACCAATTCTTTTGACCAGTCCCAAATTTCTCTTTTAAAGGCAGACAAAATTCGCCGGTACAGCGAACGACAGTTCTGAAATAGAGGTCCCACGCCCGTCGTCCGCTGCCATCGCCGTCCCTGCGAGTCCCACAATACGCGAAACGACGCACGCACAGAATGCTTCCGGTTGTCTGTGGAGCTTTTTTTTCAATCAACGTATTTGCAGCTTTTTAGAAGCCACAAAAAATGGGTTTTATATTTTTTTCTATTTTTAATATTGAGTGCGTGCTTTCAGTGACCCACGACTTTGATTAAATTTGGTGGTCGCATCGATACCTTAGAAAACGGCCCGTGACCGTGGAAAAGAGAGTGAGCGAGACTCGAACCGGCCAGTTCTTGATCGGCGGTTTTCGGGCGGAAAGAAACCGAATTTCGAGCCGCAAATTCTGTTCTGGGTAGTTGAGCTCTCATATGTCACGTACAACTAAAAACCTCGGCGAGCATAAATACCCTGTCAGTGTCCCTTTAAGCCTTATGGTATGGCCTTGTACTAAGGCGTGCCATGCTACGAGAGAGGGAGGGGAAGATATGGGATCAAGAGGGGGTTAAACGGGATGAAGCTAAATGAAATTGTGAAGCTTCGCTTTCCGAACGTATTCCAGAAGCAGATCTAACATGCCCTTTCCGTGCTGTGGAATGCCCCTAGAATGAATCCATTCCTCCAACGTCGTGGGTCTGGTTGACAAACCAGACAGTGGCATGCAGTGTACCTTGCTTTTCAAAACAAATCTATCGTATATGTAACACCAAAGAGCAGCATAAAACTTTGCAAAGAAGTTTTTGCTTTAATTAACCTCAAGTCAGTTTGATCCGTCCACCTCACCTTGCATTTGGCCACAGGGTCAAGTTTCTACTCTTCGACAGACTAAAGTGCAGCAGCAGATGCAAACGAACCAACTCTAGCTGGTGGAGAGAGGGCCATTCAGATTTGAAATGTGGTTCTTGTAAAACTGCCAGCGAGGAAGCCGAATGCTAACATCTCTAGGTTACCTGCAGTGCTGCAATCAAGTCTTCCTGTCCCACGAGTCCTCGATGGTATAAAAATGGGGCCCTTAGGTGCTTACCTCCCATGGAGTGGGAGATCCAGATGATGGGTCTATCTCCGACCCCAGCCTGGTGCAGCTTGGACAGCATCTCGGCTGCGCGGGACTCGAGGGTTCGCCTGCGGAAGGACACGTCAAGGCGTTTCCGGCGTCCAGGGCACAAAACACCCACCTGTCTGGTTCTAAGGGGCAGTGGAGTCCCCACTGGCTCAGGTAGGTGTCATAGTCCAGGGCCAGTATCCGCATTCGAGGAAGGTCCTCAGAAAGCCAGCTCTGAAATGGAAGACATTCAAACTTGTGTACACTGGCATTTCATAATGGGGCATAATCGGTTAATGTAAACTGCCCTAGTGGCAACAGTGATCAGTCTTTCTTCTTTTCTATTTTTTTTTTTTTTGTCATAGCGATCTGGAATATTGAAGTTTTTCAAATAAACTTGAAATAAGAAAAATTTTACAGGCAAATGTTTCTCAGATTTTTTTTCAGTTTTATCCAAAAACATGGAACCCCAATCATCAGCAATGGTGATAATCCCTTTCTGTTGTTTAGATAAGGGAAAAAATTAGCACTTAATGAAGAGAACTGAAAAACTTGTAAATGTTTTGCAAAAGCCTACAAGTCAACAAGAACCGATATCTGTACCACGCTCTGTGGACATGGTAAGAGTATTCGTAGTGCTCAACATCTCAAACAAAAAATAGCTGCCAAAATGACTGCATGTTGTTGAAATGCGATAGCAATTCGCACCGTTTTATACCACCTAAATGTTTCACTATCAAACTGCTTAGGAACTGCTGTGGGAAATCTAGGAAAGTTTTGTTGACGTCCTTGAAGTCTTTTATGATATTTAAGGTAAATTCACATACTTTTCTGACCAAACTCTATACTTCCCACAGATGAGCCCGCTCATACCTACCAAAGAATTTTGCTGTAGCATTATGGCAATTAAAATGTTCCTCTCCTAGGTAAACAAACATCAAAGTTGAAGCTACCCACTTGCACTATCTGCATGTTCTGCAGTGTCGATTGGTGAAAGAAATGTTATTACATTCAATACCTACCGCTGCACAAGTCTCCCCTCAGTAGTTAAGTGTCAAGATCACAATCTTGGGGTACTGGGTTTGGTTCTCCTCGGGGAACATTCGGAATTTTGATCCTTCCTCTTAATTTATTGCCTCATCACTCTTCCGCACACGCGTGTGTGCTCTCCGCCGACTCGACGAAACTGGCTTGTTGGTGTCCCGAGCGATCTTCTGTGAAACCTTTTGCTCACACATGCCCTTTTTCAAGACCAGCTGGCAACGCTCAAGCATAGAAAAGGTTGCTATAGTCGATGCCAAGGTGAAAACAGCAGGGCACCTTTTTCGAACAGCCAACCTCCAACGCATATGCTTGTTGTCTTCTGCTGTGCTTTGGCTGCGCGTGCACCCTCGAGGCTCGCGAGATGCCGAAGCATTGTCGAAGGTTGGAAACGCACCCTGGAGGCGGCACACCTGAAACTACTCCCTGCCGTTCTCATGCTTCATACTTTATTGCATTAAAAAGAAGAAAAAGAAAAAAGGAAGCATTGCTGCGAGCAACTATAACACCAAGTACTACGTGCGCTTGCAAACAGCACTCGTTGGTCATTCTAGCCAGACGATTCCCTTAGTGAATGTGCCTCAAACAAACACAAAGCACAACGGTCATGGAATGCCATCCACCAAACTTCATTTTGAACAAATAATAATGAGTCAAATTGTGTGCCACAATTCCCTAGGTAAAGGAACTATAGTCAGGGAGAGGTCAAGTGTAAGTGGAAGCTCCTCCCACCTCGCTCCACTTTGGCAGAGCGAACGCTGGAGAGGAGGTTGCCTCCTCTCCAGCATTCGCTCTGCGAAAGTGGAAAGAGGTGGGAGGAGCTTCCACTTCACTCTTGACCTGTCGCCGATCATAGCTGAATGCTCGAAAAAAACCACAACAGCACAGGATTCGGAGGGAACCGCATTAAACCGTGCTGCAGAGTCGACGAAAAAAAGAGGGCCTAACACCTGCGCACCTTGGTACGGCGAAGCAAAGGACATAAATACCTTGGGCCACGAAGTGGTGTAACGGGGGTGTACGGTTCCTGCCCTCACGCGGTCGGCAGTGACTCGGTGCTCGCCACCGCGCACAGCCACGAGGGGAGGCTCCACGGTGTCGTTGCCCTCGCACGCCTGGCTGTCGTGCTGTCGCCAAGTCTTGAAGACGCTGCCCAGCAAGCCATGCACCAGGACCACATCTGCCAAGGGTTCCACGGGACTAGACCTGCCCACCGCATAGAAAAAGAGCCTTACGCATAATTTCTCAAATTGTTTTTTTTTTTTTTTTCAGAGTGTAGATTAGATAAATCTACTCATAATCACACAAAACTTGATCTGCTATGGTCAGTTTGGCATAAACATGCTGGAGGGGGGTGGCAATCATTTTGTCGAACAACGATTCGTCGACATGCGACATTTCATCAACAGATCTTGGGACGTTTTGTTGGACACAACCCTGCTGTTTTCGCAACAAACTTTTCGCATCTCCTGGTTCATGGGGGGCGAGAGAGGAGTAAGGGTCCCAAGTGTTGGGTAAACATACCTTCCTGAATCACACACTAATTTTTAGCAGCTTAACGTAAAATATTGTAGAAACGCCCACTTCATTCAAGTGCCCATTTTTTACATTTCCCAAACTTGGGAATTCTGCAAACCATATGTTAAGTGCTCAATTTGACCAGAGAAGCGCCCGTCTAGATTAACCCCGTTTTCAGTGAAAGTGGGGTGGGCACTCCCCCAGTACTTTACGGGAGTAAAAAAAAAAAAAAAAAAATGTTATCGACAAAACATTGCAGAGGCATGTGTCCACGAAATGAGTTTCCGCGAAACGTAGTGTAAGTGAACCATGTCCATGAAACGTGTTTTGACAAAATGGTAAGGGCCCGAAGGAAGAGGGGGGGGGCAGGCACTTTTTTTATTAAAGGGCTTGTCCCAATTGCCCCTTTCTCGGAGGTGGGAAAAGCATACGGAAAAACTTTTCATATAGCCGAAAATGAGCAACTGGGAATGTGTGGTTGAGGCCAAACGTTATTCCACTCCTCACCGGGAGTGGAGGTACTTACCCTCAAAAGGCTGTTGAAAAAAAAAAAAAGATTGTGTGGCTTGTATGTTTAGACAGCCTCGAAGTTGGTACGCCTCAACGAGTGATCCGTCCCTCAGCTGTAGATGAGAAATTTAGCCAGTGCAGTACCACCGCTAACGTGGGGTACAAGCAAAATGGCTGCTTTGCATGTCAACCGCTTTCGTGGCACTGGCACTCGGAGCGCCGACTCTTACAATTGAGAGTTTTCACGCTTCTCAGAATTTAATTCTGAGGGTCAGGTCTCATCATCTGGTTGAGAACTTCTGTAATGTGCCTCCGGTTCGGAGTCAGAGACTGCCAGTTTGTCACGGAAGCGAGCAGGTCAAAATGAAACCTAATAGAAAAAAGACAAAACCTTTTCATCCTCAGTATTTTCCTTCTATGCTTCTCAACCTGAACAGCTGGCAAGCACTGCAAGTGCTCCCGTTAGTTAATCTAGAAAAAAAGCTTGCGCATTCTTTGCTTAAGGATGTGCAATTGGAGTACAACCGAACCACTGGGGCACATCTTTCGAAAAAAAGATTAAAAAAAAAAAAAAACGATTTTGAAAGGGTGAAAATAAAACAAAAACACACCAGACATAAGCGGAGGTCAGTCTGTACACACGAATTGCAAGTGTCGCGAGGAACCAGTAGCATCATCCTTTCTAGCCTACAGGGAGAGAGAGAGAGAAACATGTTTTTATTTGATGAGGGGTTCACCCGCTATGGAGTTGTGCTCCTGTAGCCTACAGGGAAACGGGACACCACTGAGGGGTGAATGCAGCACGCGTCTATATTGGCGCGCCATCACCTCGGATGCCCGAGGACCACCTCAGTCAACTCCCCAAAGGCCTGGAACACGACCTGCAGCCTCCAACAAGCAAGCTCTTGATGCGGCCAATGCAACCTGCCATCCCTCAAAAGTTTGACCCACCATTTTCATGTTCTGAGCAAAAAGGCAATGGGGCACACCTGTACTCGGGATGCAAGAGGTAAACGCCGTCGCCGTAGCCCATCGGCCACGAAGAGTCGGTGTCCATGTTGGCCAGAGCCCGGCTGGCTGGGAACGACAGCAGGGTCTCGGGGTTGCGCAACCAGCGGGCCAGGATGCCCACCCAACCTGGAGCCAGCCGCAACATGAGGGGCAGACCAAAACAAACTGCGCTCGGAAAACCCCGCCTCAGGTTTCGAGAGACCCCGCATTCCGTACCGCGACCGGCTAAGAAGCCGCACGTAAGAGCTCGACTCCGTAATGCGAAGGTACGCCTAAGCAGTCTTCCAAAGCTCTGTGTTGAGCCTACTCACAAAAAGATCAGACAATGGATGGAACGTTCTACAGAAAACGGCTTTTTGTGGGGCTCTCAACTGATGCCACTGCAGAAAGTTGCTGTGCAGTTAAGTAAAAATAAAACACATTTTAACAAAAAGATCTGTTAGACATTTGAAAAGTTCAATCTTTGCTCGTAAAAGCCTTATTACGTTGCTCAGGAGCTAAAGGAGACACCCTTTTTTTTTCTTCTAAGAACTATCAACTCCTCTGAAAAAACATGGGGTTAAAATGACTAAGTCTCGAACTAATTAAACCAACAATAGAGTTTATTCTCATCCAGGTTATTAAAAAAAATGCTGTAAATAAGGAATATTCCAAAACAAAACAAAATCACACATACACGAGGTTTCTGTTTTGCAATCATTTCGTGTCACTCACTTATAAATTATAATATACCATAAAATACAAAGCATGCACCCATTTCGCAATAAGTGGACACCTCTACTTTTAAAATGTTTGAAATGTAAGCAAAGGACATATCAGCGAACTTCTGAGCCAACCGAGGTGTTCCTTCATGTCAGTTGCTCCTCTGAGAAGCCAGTGCAGAGCAGTGAAGCTTGATATGAGAGCACCAGTGCGAAGCAAGCTTAAGTCGTGTATCTTAAAAATCAGGGGTACCGCCATATTGCTATACCGTTCTGTCGGATCAAACAAGAGCCTGCTCTACCATAAGCACCTTTTGCTTTTCTGCTCTTAAACATAACAAGATCCCATCCCCCCATCCCTCCCCCCCCCCCCCCCCCTTTTTTTTGTGTGATTATTTCCAATTTTTGGGTGTGCACTTGCTTGGTATTTTACGGTATATAGCGGCGGTTCTCAAATGGGGTTCGGCGGACCCACCAAGGTCCACGAAGCCATTTTTTTTTTATTTACGAAGCCCTCGGCTCAACCCTCAACCATCCCACCCTTCCCCTTTCTTCTCGAAACAAAAAATTTTCTTTGTTGACCTTGGCTAGGTGGAGCGAGCCACTGCCCGTTATTAAAGTTCCTCGATACTTTCTTTTAGAAACGACAACTGGCACGAATTTGGAAGCTTATTCCGTTGGAACAAAATGGAGCCTTTCAGTTCATTTTGCTGCTGTGTGCCGCCATTCGCTTCCTAAAAGCTGCACCGTCACGTAGTCGGCGCTCCAAGAGTGACATTACTTGTAGGAAGCTCAAAGTGCATCTCTTATCGAGGAACTTTACCGATTATAAAGGGTACAGTCGTTACCATCTATCCATTTATTTACCCTTTAACTTAATGCTTCACGCTTCTCCTGTCTAGAACAGTGAAGGAAGCCCTTTTCACACTGCAATTAGTTGGCTTATTTGATATCCTCCTCCCCTCCCTTTCTTCTTCCCCTGCTGGCATGGGGCCCCCAGCACTCTGGCGGGTCCCCAAGGGGTGTCCGACACATCCATGCTACAGGAACAGATTTGTTTAAAAAAGTCGTGAAGGCTACAGTTATGTGGTTTGTGCAAGTGGGTTACACGGCCAGGGGGACATGGTTTAGGGGGATAATCGTAATGATCAGTCAGCTCATTAACTAAAATGTGTTAATTAATGCTTTAATTATTGAAAATAAATGGTCCTAATTACAAGCTTGCTAAGCGTCACCGAAAACCACTAAATCAGTCAATATTAGGAAGACTTGGAGCACGTGGGAAGCACGGTGAAGTGCTAAAGTTACCAATCATGCAGCAGGAGCAAGGCTATCGGTGCAATTATGCGCCTGTGTGGCTTTTTGCATCTCTCATCCTAGCCACAGCCTTGTACCGGTTGCTCGAGTGGTAACTGTGGCGCACTACTGCGTTTCCCATGTGCTTAAAGTATTTCTAAAAATTACAGGTTCAGTGGTTTTCGATGATGCTCAATAGGTTTCTAATTGGAACCATATGTCTATTCTCACTAATTAAAGAGTAGATTAACACATCTTAGTTAATTATTCTATCCATCTTGACGATTCGCCCCTTATATTATGTTCCCCTGGCCCTATAACGCAACTGCACAAACCGAATTAGTGGGGCTTTCCCGGCTATTTTTTTTAGCAAATCTGTCAAGCTTAAATAGAAACACCCTATATAGCATTAATCCATTTTTTAACCCCATTTATACGCGGTGTGCATTTTCACGCAAGGGAAAGAATCGCATACCTCTGTCGTGAACACGTACTGATCTTTGCAACACATTTGGACGAAAAAAGCTATTATAAAAATGAAAAAACTGACACCTCTTTAGCTTCCCCTTTCATACAAAAATACTCACACCTTTCAATTAGCATCAAATTTTCTACAGCCAAAGTGAAAATGAAGTTTCATGACTAGAGCAACTCAAAAGAGTCAACACCAGGCACTCACTACACTGACTCTTTTAACAATGCCAGGGTACTTTCACAACAAGCATGTTTGAGCCCTGCATAGGTTCATAAATAAGCGGAGCAAAGCCCAAGTTATCAACTATGCACTTCAGATCAAGGTTCAACGACGTTAAAGAAACACACAAAATAGATGGGACAGAGTAAGAGAAGCAGATAGGACAGGTGTTAACTCACAACTAAATGTTTCTTGAAAGATTTTAATGTCACATATCATATCTGCACACACCGGCTCATCTTGTAGTGAAAAAACAAACAAGTGTGGCACTGCATTAACAATAGAGGTGACGTTGTCTCCTTTGATGAACTGCTCGTCAGAAAGGGAGAGACAAGTGCGCAATGCAAGCACACAACACAACCAGGCGGAAACCAAAATTGTGTACATTTGCTAAGATTGATTTGTCTACCACTAATTATGAGGAAAGCCGTGTAAGATCTGGAGCGCTAAGTTATGACCTTAGTGATCATCAAGTAAATGTTGAAAATCTAATTTAAGTATTTTCAGCAACCTTGTTGGTAACTTTGCAAAGAGCTAGCCATAGTCTTTCCGGTTTTAACCGATAAACACCAAGAAAGATCCTCCAGGATCAAGATACAAAATCTGTTAAAATTAACAAAAAAAAGAACCCACCAATTTACAAAAATGTTTGCTCAAAGCGTGAAATATTTTTGTTGAAGCTCTTTCTTAGATTTTCGTTGGGCGTGTAATCTTACCTAGAATCAGGCACCTTGCCAGTCTCAAATCAGTAGAATCTCTGACCTTGGAGGACAGTGGCACGAGAGTTAGGTTGGTCAGTCGGTCATCACAAATTATCACAGTGTGTTTGTTCTATTCGGGTCAGAACTGGATGACAGTGTTCGAAACTGCACTGGTGGTCGTTACCGGCTGAATCTTGGGAATGAAGCAGGAGCGACTTGCTTTTGTTGTAGCAGAAACATTTTTCTTGAGAATATTTTAATTTTGTTGTTACACGAAGCAGAAGGGTGGCAGGATAAGAAAACTAGAAGTTCTGTGTGATTACATTACAGTGTACCCGGAATTGGACCCACGCTGAGCTCTTTGTTCGTCATTTGCAAGCATTGTCACATTACGGTAAGCATGAAGCGTTATAAGGTTGTCCACAAATTGTGAATTAAAGGGGCGGTGCAACGATTTTATGATTAAAAGAATTTGCATCTCGTCATTTTTACGTTGTTTATCGTGTCCCGGAGAATAAGGAAAACATCTCCTTAATTAAAAATGTTGCGATTCAGCTGCATAATCGCAAAGCAAAAGTCGAGCTTTTTCCCCCACCTGCAGCCCCAAGTGGCAGCCAAAGGAACTACGGCGAAAAGATTACGTGACCTCGCTCGGCTCTAAGCTGCAGCATAACGCCTGCTAATGTCAGCAGAGAGAGGGAGAGGAAGCGTCCTCCGAGATAGCACACGGGAAGCTACACGGCACTCCGAATTACGTCACTAGGAGGGGGACCAGGTGTGACCTGAAGGCTGGGAGTGAGTTGAGGGGTGTCCGAAATGCCAATATTTATCTTTTTTTTACGCAACAACTAGGACACGCAGGCGAAATCGGTTTTCGGTTCTCTACTTCAGAAGTGTCGGAGGGCAACTTCCAGAAATCTTTGACCGAAGTCCGGAAATCGTTGCACCCTCCCTTTAAATTAGAACATTTTTTTTTTATTTATGAGCTTTGTTCTGTGTTTATTGGCATTTCACTTATAATACCTGTTTTTAGCGTCGGCACAAAATAAATTGCCAAAAGACCAAACATTTTTTTAAATAAATACCTATGCCGCAAAACACAACTGCACATTTTTCTTATAAATCTGCAGGCTAGTTACCGTTTATTCTATAGACGTTGTGGTATTCTCACACATTGTCTGTCTGGAAAAGGGGACCAGGTCATAATGGAGACATCTTTAATCTTAGAGCCTGGTGTTCGGCGACTTGGGCTGCTATGGCTGAACTGTCTCGTCTCTAGCCACGCGCCTTGCGCCCCATGCCTGCCCCACGCTCGCTTCTCGCACGCCCGCCTCGTCGTCGCCAAAGTTCTCGGTGTCCAAAAGCCCCACATCTTCCGCCCCTTCTAGATTGCACATGTTCCACAAAATCAGCAGGCACTGTTCATTAATGCAGACGTTTGCATCAACCCTTCTTTGTTAGGCAGAACACCTCATAAAAATTATTGACTTCTCGTAGCCAATAATTGGGCCCTCATCTTAAAATTAAAAAAAAAGTGAGACTAAAAAAGTATTTGCCTGCTTTCCCACCGGTCTCTCCCTCCAACCAAGCGTAATCAATAGCTCCGCTTAACTTTAAGAAGTCTTCCATTTCACGCCCTGACTAGCTCGGGTGAAAAGAGAGAACGCACATCAAAGCCAGGCACATTCATTTTCAAATAAACACAGATATAATATTAAGGCGAAAAGTAACAATAACAAACGCTTTGCCTGCTTTCTGACCAGTCTCCGCCCAGCCGAGCTTCATCACCAGTGCCGCTTGACTTAAGAAGTCTTCCGGCTTGCACCAGAACTAGCTCAAGTGAAAATGAAGAAACAGAACCGCTGGCATTATCGCTTTAAAATAAATTAAACTCCAGTGATAAGGCTTGCACTCTACAGTCTATCTATCCTCCTGCGCGATTCGCTGCAAGCATGACTGGAGGAGCAAGGCGGGAGCACTGGACAGCTGAATCACAACGCGGACAATTTGACGCCTCACGTGATCGTCTCAACATCTTCCTACTGGTTCTTGGCACTCCCAAAGACTCCTTGGCATCTTTGATCTCCTCAGCATCGCCCTTAAGAGTGCTCTACCGAGATGGTGTAGCACAGCATCGAGTGGACATCCACCGGGCCCATCATCTTGAAGATCAGGGCGTCCCGCAGTCAGGGGTCCCTCGCGTAGCCGCCCGCAGACAACTTGAGGATCTCGGGCGCTCCTGCCGTCAGGTCTGCCAGAGCGTTTGACGGGCTGCACAACTGCTGCTGCTCGAAGCAGCGCATGTACCTGGCGTGGGCCTTTCCAGCAGGGGTCCCCAGAACTTGCCCTTGGCCCATGAGCGGCATCCGAACAGGTGTCGGTCGCGGATGATGTTCTTCTCAACCATCGTGACAGGCCCCAGACGAGTGGCGAGCCCCATGCTGGTGCACCATTTGTGGTATTCTCACTCACCACTTGTCCAGAGAAAGGGACCAAGTCATGATGGAGACATCTTTAATCTTCGAGCCCAGTGTTCAGCGGCTTGTGCCGCCATGGCTGAACTGTCCCGTCTCTAGCCACGCGCCTCGCTCCACGTGCCTGCCCTGCGCTCGCGCGCCCGCCCCATCGTCGCCACAGTTCTCGGTGTCCAAAATCCCCACATTGTTTCAATGCTCAGAAACATATTCTAATACAAAGTGCAGTTATGTAAACAGGTCATTACCAAGCATAGTATGGGCCTGAAGAAATTTTAATATATAGTAAATTCTTTAATTCTAGCAAATCAATACATACATGAGAACAAAAGACTGAATTGCATTATCTTTCCAGGATTGTGGCTTTAGGCTCTTCAGTTTGCACAGAACCTATGCTCTCTGGAGCTGCATGCTCTCCGTCGTGACCTTGTCAAGTTATATATGACCAGACTTCCTTTCAATGAAAAGAGAGATTTCATTTCTTTATTACATTACATTTTCTAAGGCTGCACATATGAAGTGAATGATCATTTTCTTTATTATAAACATTTCGTTTTTTAACGCTATATATTATTTGTAGCCAAATGTCAATTTTCTTTATTACAAACATTACGTTTTCAAACTCAATTTATTTGCAGCGTTCATCAATTGTCTCCTCGTTCAAATAAAAGCGAGACTCGAGATTGGCACATTTTAAACATTCGAAGCGAAATGCAGGTATGCGCACCCGCAACATTGGGAGTAATCTTGAGAATGTGTTCCTTTTGGCATTGCTCTAATCACGGTCTGTTGGTGTACGAGTTGTCGTTCGTCCACCGACTGGTCTTGTCCAAAACACTCCACTTGAAAGCAGTTGGAATCTCAGAGCCGAAACTATGGGGCCTGGCACGTGCCTCCGACTGGTCTGTTTACCGCGTTCAAAAAAGCGGTCCCTCAATTTCCACTCGACGTCGCTGTAAAAGTGTCGCGTTGTCGCCGGCCGCGATGCTGCCAGTGTTACAGCAGCAATGGTGGATGTGCCAGACGCCTGTTCCACTGCAGGCCGCTTTCAAGCTTGACAATTCACGAAGGCTTGAACAGCCAGGAGTTGGGCTGCCGCGACATGGCGAAACTTGCATCCCCTCGGTTTTTTTCCCGGCACTTCCGCGTTCAACCGCCAGGACGGTGACATCCGACAGCGTGACACTCCGGCTTTCACAACGTCATTTGTTGCCACTCGGGGACCACTTTGGATGTATGGGCGGATGCTAACCACACCAATCGGAGACGCACTCAGGCACCGCACCTACACGTCCCTGGCGGACTTACCTGAGCGGAAGAGCACCTGGTGTAGGTCGGGCTCCAGGGAGAGGTTAGCCAGGGCCTGCGCAGCGAGGCTGTGCAGGCGCACATCATCGGGGTGCTCGAGCAGCAGCCGTTGGAGCAGGGGGAGCAGGCCGGCGTGCACCAGCCGGTGCCGGTGCTCCGCCACGCTGCAGTGGCGCACCAGAGCCTGCAGTGCCAGGTCCAGCTCAGTCTCGACGGAGCCGTGCCAGGGCTCCTCCACCTGGGACAGAACGGGCGACCCACGCTGTACTGCCACAGATCGAACCCGGGGCGCGCGACGATGCGAGGGGGGCGCCAGTGGTGCCACTGACGATTCGGTCGCTCGGTCAAACGAATGGCAGCGCAACTACACGCGGGACCCAGCTCGCGACTTCCCTTTTTGGTTCTCCCTGGAACCTTCCACCTTTCACTACATTCCAGCCTCGTGCGGGTGGACAGTGCACGTAGATTATTCCGAGGTTGCAGAAAGGAGCTAATTGACACTTCACACCCGACCATACCAATTATTCCCGACCTTGGCACGGGGCTGGGAAGACTTTGTTTTCTGCCGATTAAAATTTGTCTACATTCGGTGGTAAAACGGAGATGGTATTAATTATGTTTCGGTACAAATCACGCAATAAATTATTTTTTGGTAGGAGTAATTAAAATTAATTACTTTTCTGGGCTGGCAGATTAATAATTTTACGATAGGGCAGTAATTTATAGAAAATTACTCATTACTTTCACAATTTTGTCCATATTGCACTAGTAGTCTCTCCCTTTTCGACCTTTGGGAAAAGTTATTTTGCATTTTTTAGTTATTTTGATCTTTGGGAAAAATTATTTTGCAAGGCAGATTTTTGCAAGAGGGAAGCTACATCTTCCCTCTCACAACAATTTTCCATGCATAATAATTTAAAACTTTTCCTAAAGATCAGCCAAAGAGAAACTTATTTTAACTGTAATTAAAATAAAACAGAACCTAAATGAGGATCAATTTGAAGATGTCACTGAGAGGCTACAGGTTGATGATGCCATGTCGTCGGAGGCATACTGGCCCTACAATATGGGTGGCGCAGCAACCTTTTAAAACCTGAGGCAACGGACTCAAAACAGGACATGCAGGTTTTAACGGTGCGACATTTAACCACATCACCAGCCTACTTGCTCTTTTGTCAAGCGAGATCAAGCTTCAAGGCAGGAACACTTCCGAGTGATGCAACAAAACAGCGCTGGATCATCGTCGCAGTGGCTTTGCTGCTATTTGATAAATACTGACAAGGAAAGGAGTGGGGTACCAATCACTCACCATTACAGCACTCAGAAACCATTGCAAACATTCATTTTTGATCTATCAAACAAGAGGAGGCAAGCAACTGCCTTTCCGAGCAAATGTTAAAATTGTTTATGCAACACGCTGCTTCTTTCAAAATATCAAAAACAGACCCCGGACACGGCAGAATGACTAGATATCAGTGGTAGCTCTGTTGATAAGACTTTTTCTGTGCAGGGTGACCTTTGCACTTCGACGAAGATGTTACCGAGTGCTCGGCTTTGTGTTTGCTGCCAAACAATGATGTTTGATCCAAACGACCTACAAAGATGAAGATGGAAAAACAGACTGCGCAAGAATCAGAAGAAGCGCACATGTCATCGCTTTACGACACTTCCGTTTTGGAGCAGCAAGGAGCAGCAAGGAACGGCAAGGGGGCAAGGTGACACCAGTTCACCATTACATCACTGACTTGCGTGGGAACTTAATCTGTGTTTTTTAAGCTTTTCATTCACTTCGTAACTACACTGTTTCCAATTTTCTAAATTTTGAGTGTGATGTCTAGGTATCATATCCAGTTGTTTGGAACAATAAACAAAATATGTATTTTGGGTTGTCATTGACCCCTTACCTGTTCCACGTCTAGGCAAACATAAGGAACTAATTGGCTCATCATTTGTGGGAATTTTCTCAACATACTGTAAAACTCTTCATATTTGCAAGCCCTGAATTTTCGCAAATTTCACGAATTGAAAAACTAGTGAAATTTAAGGGCATGCAAAAATTTCGGTGCTTAAGTTTCAATGCAGGCGTCTGGAATTCACAAAATTTAGTGGCCGCGATTATTTCCTCCTTGACCGATTAAAAAAAAATAGGGGCTGCAAAAATAAAGGGTTTTACAGTTCTTCAGATGCCAATTGGAATTTATTTAAAGGTAGAGTGGCTCTGTTTTTAGTCAACATGTCCCCAAACAACAAAGCTTTCCTTCAAACCTTTTTTGAAGATGATTTCAACAACACAAAAAAATAACAAGTGAACAAGTGGGGCAAGGTGAAACTTGTACTTCTTTGTGCATGATTTTTGTACCCTGTCCTGTTGTTTCGTTTGAATGTGGTGAAAGCTGTGGTATAGTCCAGTACCAAGCTATTCCTTGGGGTTGAAGAAGAGGAAATTTAAAATACAAATCAGGTGATAGTTCAGCACTGTGTGAGCGTATTTTTCTGTGTGTTTGGATTCTGAGTAACTGTCTACCTGTGCGCTGGTTCACAATTATGCCTGACCAACTCGCCCAATCTACAGTATTAACAGGTTTTATAGTCCAGTAAGAAGTTTTGAAGAAATTTATGAAGAAGAAAATATCTAATTTTGGAGCACCCTTAAAGAGACAAATCCACATTTTGGGGCAGCTCTCGTGCAACACAAGCATACTTTTGTAGCACAGCGGAGCAGTTCTCCTCCACGCCTGCAAAACAATGCTCAACCGTATTGCGGTCTAGCCTCACATAGGTCAAATAAACTTATCACCCAATTTGTATTCTGTTTCCTCCCATTAGTAGTACCATAGTAAATAAAAGTTAGCAGGCTTTTCACAAGTTCAATATTATCAAAAAGAAATTGGTTTATAATGCCATTTTAACCTTCTATGTACATAACATATAAAGGGTTAAATTGGAGCCACACACCCCGTAATGATACCTCCTTAGTAAATCCCATCTTCCCCTCGCTACGGGGTTTACTATATCATGTAAAACCAGCTATATTTTAAATGTGTATTTTTTTTCCCCTTAATTTTTGTAATTATATCAGCTTAATATGATTTGTCCCTTTCTGGATTTTTTGTCTATTGAAGCACAACACACACACACTTGGTTTCGAATCGGCAAGATGGTAAGCCCAGCAGGCTGGCTTCCCTGCAATGTCATTGGTAGCTACAGTTGTCAGCCCCAAAATGCTATAGACCGACACGCTGTTTACAAACAAGCCCGCGTTTGCCCACACCAGGTGTGGGCACTGCGCGTGCGCAGAAACCGAATTCGAGTGAAGCGTCGCATCTGCGCATGAGCAGTGTCGTCGACAGCGCCACTGCAGCTGCGTGACATCAGGGCCGCGTGTTGTTCTATAACCACGGCATCATGTCAACGAGTGTCTCGTCAATAAGCGAGAGAACTGGAGCACTTCTCCCACCCCACACCACCCCTACACAAAAAAAAAAAAAAAGATGCCTGCCCCCACCTTTGCACATTTCCTCTTCCTTCTTTCCTTTCCCCTCCTCCCCCCATTTCCACTGCAATTGTTTTGTGAGGATGGTTCTTTCAACTCCCGTGAAGAGGAGACGGCGAGGGAAGCTACCCAAAGCTGAAGGCAGGCGTTGTGCTTCGTGAACGAATTCCATGGCCCGATCAGCCTACCTGCCAGCAGCAATGAGATTTCTGTGAGAAAACCTCTTCTCGGTGAACGTACATGATGGCTCCGCGGCCGTCCAGCTTGAAGCGCGTGGTATGTGACAAAGCTGGTGCAAGACCCCCTGTCCGTGGCAGGCAGTTGGACGAGCAACAGCCGCAATTTGTCCGGCAGGGCACCCTAGAGAAGAGGCCAGGATGTAGCGCACGCTGGTATGGTACCTTCCAGCGTGTCTCCGACGGGCATGTTTGCCGCAACTTCAAAAGTGGTTCCTCCCTTTCTACCCGACAACGCCATAAAAGTGTCATGCCGTTGACTGCCGCGAGCTTGGCGGTGACACTGCAGTCACATTGGATGTGACAGATGCCTGTTCTGTCGCAGGCAGGGAGAATATGAATCAATATAACTTAAACCACAATTTGAATAGGACCAGTCTTACTGCCACAATTTAAATCAAAACCTTTCCCGCGAAAAGAATACCGACAATATGTGTTATTTAATGTTCGTTTATCAATCCATGTTTTCTATGTGCATTTGTTTCATATTTAAATTGAAGAATCATCGAGCAAGGTTTATATGAAACTGAACGTGAGCGAGAAAGAAGCTCTTTTGAGAAAATCAAAGTGTTGAGTTTGATTTCCACCTTACGCTTTGTTCGTCGACTACGTCGCGTCCTACTGCAACAAGATCAGAATGCAAAAAAAAAATGGGAACTAGAAAAGTAATGTCCTACTGCAATCAAATAAGAACGCACAAAAAAAAAAAAAAGCTTTATAACTATTTAGTAGAATCAAGCTACTTTTGTTCTAGTAGAGGATTCGAGTAATAAAACATTGTTAAAGGGACACTGCCAGGGTATTTATGCTCGCCAAGGTTTTTATTTGTACATGATACCCAAGTACCCAGATTTGTTTCCTTTCCACCCGAAAATCGCCGATCAAGAACTGTGGCGGTTTGAGTCGCGCTCACTCTCTTCTCCGTGGTCATGTGTCGTTTTCTATGGTATAGACACAACCGCCAAATATAATCAAAGTCGTGGGCCATCAAAGGCTCACACACAATATTAAAAAAAATATATGATATACATTTTTTGTGGCTTCTAAAAAGGTGCAAATACGTTGACTGGAAAAAAAAAAAGTTGCATAGCCACGTGACTTCTGCCAACTCTCTCCTCTATAGTATTTCTTCCTCCTCCCCAGTCCAGTTTCGGTTTCGACCAGTTGCGTTTTTTACTTTATTAAAAATATGCAACGCTGTAGCAAAATATTCATTAGGTAGTCTTCTGATACCATAATGAATTGCCTGGCAAAATATAAAAAAATTAATTTTGGGGGGTGTCAGTGTCCCTTTAATTAAACCATACTTTACATTCACAGTAATTCTTTTCTCCACATCGATATCAGCAACCAAATGAAGGGGAATATATCAACCTGCCATGTTGAAAAATATATCTAGTGGTAAAAAATCAACATCTCCTAGCTACGGCGATTTGAATGAGATTAATCCAATTTAAATACAAAATTTTTTTCGCGAAAATTTTTATTTTTTTATTTTTTTTCCCTGGTTACAGGTTGCTTTGTGACCAGAAAGTCGACGGAAACCCAAACAGACACCAGATGGGACGCCGCCAACAATGGGAACCCTCTACTTTTTTCGCCGGCACTTCTACGACTTCTCGTCGGGATTGTGACATTCGACAGGGTGACACATGGGCTCCTGTAACGCAATTCGCTGCCACTTCGGAACCACTTTTGATGCACAGGCAGGACAGAAGGGTAAACACGCCGGTCGAAAGACTCTTTCCAGGCACCGTACCGCCGGTCCTCCCTCGCGGTCGCACTCTACCTGAGACAGGTGCGCTGGCACGGGCGGCGGGGGCAGGAAAAACCTCATGTCGGCAGATGCAGTCCTTGCGAGTCCGACGCCGGTCCGAACGTCACAGGCCTGCGCAATCTCGCGGAACTGAGCGTCTGCAAGGTAGGCGCGGCGCCGTCAGGGTCGGGGGTCAGGGCAAGCCGAGACGCGCATACCGGTCAGGTGCCTCAGGTCTGCCAACGCCCGCACAGCATCCAGGCGCACCTGGCGGCGGTGGGAGCATGCCCACGACAGGTAGTACCAGTGGCGGTGTGCTCGACGCCAGAAGACGGAGGCCCAGCTGCGCGCCGTCGGGGACTCCACCGCCGCTCGGGACTCTGCAATCAACAACAAATGGTTCGGACAATACAAAAAAAAAAAGCGAGGAAAAACCTAGCTTCGAATCGAGGGAGTTTGAACCGATCCCCCCCCCCCTGCTCCTCCTCTCCCCTCTCTCTCTCTCTCCCCCCCCCCCCCACTTGGAGCAAAAATGTCACGAGCTACATGACGCTAGAGTCACCGACGAGGTGAGAATGACAGGGAGGAGCTTCAGTTGTCCCGCCTCCAGCGCAAGCTTCCTGCCTTCGATGACGCTTCGGTGTCTCGTGCACCCCGAGTGCGAATAAACCAAAGCTCGACGAAATGCATGAAGTGGGAGCTGGAGGCCGGGCACTCCAAAGACACGCCCTGCCATTCTCATACTGTCCGCGACTATAAATGAGCAAATGTTATCAATATTTACCTTCAATCGTGCAACAAAAGAGAATAATTTGGTTTCTGAGCGGATGACAAAGTCCTTCGAATCGCCACCAAATTAAACTTCAAGAGCATTTAACTTTTCGATGGTCGAGTTTATTTTCCCAGATGTTTCCTGGTGGTCCAGTTTCGTTTGCAAAGGAGTAGCATGAAGGATCAATGCGCAGGTTTTTTGTTAATTATTTAGCGGGAGCACGTACGGTGCTAGCAAGCTGTTTAGGTTTAGAAGCATCAAATTAAAATATTGAAGGTAAAAAGTTGTCACTTTCCTTCCATTCGGTTTCCTTTCATGTCCGGTACCGCGACGTTCCAACGGCTTCAGATTCTTACCTGAAGATACTTTACAGAACTTCTGCGTCGGATGATGAGCTCTCATCCTCTAAACTTAATTCCGAAAAGCGTTCGAAGACTGAATCGAAAGAGTCAGTGCTCCCATTGGCACTACCGCCAGAGCGGTCATCATGCGAAGTGAGCATCACGTGTACAGAGTGTCTAATTTGGGAACTATAAATAGGTTAACGGGAAACAAAACAATGTGCCAATATGAAGTTTATAGTTCACCAAAGACGTAGTAAATAGCAACACTTCCTGCAGTGTGCACAGTTTTGTGTTTAGGCAGGCACCTTCAAATGTGTAATCCCCGCCGTCATGTACGGCGATGACCGTCAAGTGGTTAAAGACGCAGACACCTCACCCAAATACAAAATTATTTTTCTGCGGCTGTTTCACACGCGACAGCACGTTTTCATGGCTTATGTGCTATTTTTACTTCATAGCTTGTTAATTCAAGAAATCCCAAAATTGGCACCCACGATGATAATTAGCCAATTTTGGAATTGTGACGTGCGTTTGCATGTTTAAGATTATGCCATAAGCAATACATTGCTCGAGACTTTTGTCAGATCTGGCTGCTCCCTAACCTCGGGCGATGGCGCTCTTGCCCATGACGTTATGGCGGGCTAGAAGAGAAGGCGCAACGATCACACAGGCAAGAGCAGTCCCGCAATGCCACCTACAGTGCAAAGCACCACATGGGAAAGAACCGCAAAACCACAACTGCGCTCCTCTTGAGGGGGCCAGTGTGCAGTTGAGTGAAAAAACAGGAGTAGCTCACGACTGTGGATGCAGCGCAGAGCACAGCTGAAGCACTGCTATTAAACTACAGATGACGCCTCACTCTGCAGGCTGAATTATGGGACCACCCACGCCCATTGGGCAAAGCGAGCTATCACCACACCCCCCCTTTTAGCTCACCATAGGGACGTACAAAGTGAGCCAACCTAAAACACTGCAGCTGTTATAGCTGACTAAATGGAATTACAAATAAAGAAAACCTAAACAAGTTTATTAAAGGAAGAAAGGAGACTAGCGAAACGGCAATCGAGAATGTTGAAAACAATGTCCCCGTATGTACATGCCAAGCTCATTGCCACACAGCCCCTCCAATCCGCGCACACACCCTAGCTCGAGAGGTGTCGACACTCTATGAATTGCGCAGTTCATGCTCTGTAGCAGTGAGATCTACCTGCGAGATAAATGTAAGAAGAGTCGTCAGATGCACTGGCCACCTCATCTTGAAATGTTGCTCGGTGAACCATGTATCCAGTCCTGGAATAGAGGAGCAACAAGTTTTATGCCTCAAGTGAGAAATTACTTACTTCAATAATGATAATAATAATAAAGAAATAATAATAATGATTTTATTTGACATGAAAATGCATGCAGAAACGAGCTGGCATACGAGAGCAAAAATGCTTTTATGTGGGACCAGGTAGCCAACAAAGCACAAAGACGTAAGCAAAGCAAATCACAATATAACAGAATGACTATAATGAAGTAACAATGATTATTGTGAGAACATATGACACAATTCAGACATATACTTTTTGATCACTCGAATGGATGATAAATTAAACAAGGACTCTGGTAAAGTGTTAAAATATGAGGCTATCTAGTGCAGTCTTTCGTTTTTATTGCAAATAGTTGATATTTTTAAGTTGTGAGCAAATAGTGGATTTTCAGTTCAAAGTATATAGTGATTTTGACCGAATATTTTCTAATAGATTATCAAATAGTCCCTCCAAGTCTTTCCCTACTGCATCATGCCTAATTTAAACTAAAGCCCAGATAAAGTTATAAAGGTTGTTCCCAAGCTTCCACTTGTCCAATTCTAAGCTAAGTTAATTTCAATCTAACTATATTTATGAACTGTAGCCTCAGAAAGTCCAATGCCTACATTGGTATAGCAAGTAAATGACGCATTTGATATAAAATTAAACCTATAAAGATTCCCAGCTATACCTAATCGAGAAGATTTACAAATCTTCTTGCTATATGCAAATATCCTTTCTTATATCTAGAAAAAAAAAAGACAATCATAAATGATGAACGCAGCTTGTCAGGACATCTCTGCCTAACATATAACTTTGCATAACAGTCACAGTTTAGCTTTTAAAATTTTACTGTAGTGTAGATATCAACACCTACAAAGTTCCCATTTCCTTTAAATACACTAGGCACGCGTGTGCAACACCTCCCTTTGAAAGCGTGTTTTCCTCCTGAGCATGCGACTGCAATATTTGTACTTTTCTGTAGTCCACCGAGCACCGGTGCACTACAGAAAAGAAACACCCGAGGAAGGACGGCCAGATCCTCCGCCGTAACAGACAGCAGCTTCGAAAGACATCGGAACGATTCTCCATCTCCATCAACGACAGCGACTCAGAGGATGGCAACGACGATTGCTTGCCACCATCAAGAGATGAATCACAGCCCCCCTCATCGCCAGAACCTCCTCGAAACCAAGCGTCGCCTCACCCACCAACCTTACCCGTCCTTGAGCAGGACGTCAGTCCAAGAGACCTAGAAGGCTACCACAACTCCTGGGCTACATACAAGGCTTCCAACAGGCAGAACTAATCTAAACGAGTACAGCCCGCTCCACGCGCTGCTCGTGGTTGTTGTGTATAACTTTGTTTTGTTTGTTTACTACTTTCCCTTTTTAAGTTCTGCCTTTGTTTTTTGTTCTTTGTTCCTTCAAAGAAAGGGGGATGTACCATATTTTAGCGGGAGCAACACTGCGTGCACGCGAAGAGACCAAAGGAGCGCGTGCTCAAAAATAAAGAAGTTGTCCTTGTTGCTGGCACTGATCGTGAACATACTACCCTTACAGACCCTATGTCTGAGGCAAACACAAGTAAAGTAGCTGCTCTTCAAAAAAAAAAAAAAAAAAACTTCTCGACTCCTGTTTGGGCTGTTCCTGGCCTCCAAAAGCACCACCTAAGTCTGCGAGCTGAGAGTGCACTGGAACTTTGGTAGTTTTTGGGAGGAAAATGAGGGGAGGGCTCAACAATTGTTAGAAACCACGGTGGAAGAAACATTTAGGTGATGACTCTGTCCGACGCGGGGACCACATTATGTTTTGTGCACCGAGCGCTTCACTTATACGGGGATAGATGGCGCCCAAGCATGGGGTCCCTTCCAAACTGACCGCTCCGGTTGTTTCTCCCAGCAATGGTCCCGCATTCCCTCGCTCACCGCTTCTTGTACCTCACCACCGCAACAGCACCACCAAGCCGTCAGACTCCGAAAATCTGTGTTCTCTTCCTTCTTTTTCGGGTTAGGGCTCACCTTCGTGCACGATGGTGGCACCTGTTATCGACACAGCACCAAAGCCAAACACGAGGCCAGCCACTGGCCAAACACCACAACTACACCACCACACCGCGAAAAAGGCGAGCACGCTACGCCGCCGACACCGTGGCCGCCAAAGAGAGACCTCAAACCTCAGCAACCTCCGCGGCGGTGCAGAACTAACTACTCCTGGTTCGAGGCTAGCTCCGAACACGATGTGGTAGCTTGCTCCCCGTGGGAAGAGCGGCCAGAGTTATCACCTAAATGTGTTTCTTCCACCAAAATAAAAAGACAAAAAAAAAAAAGTTTTACTTTTTTTTTAGGGAAAGGGGGTAAGTTAACGTTTGATATCGAAAGTGAGGCTAAACCAGAAAAATATCAAACTTTTTTTTTTTTTCCGGTGCGTTTTGCAGCGTGTTTTCTTTTAAAACTTTTTTGTAATGGAGAGGTCCCGGGTTCGATACCCAGACCAGGCGGATTTTTTCGGCCGCGCACCAGTCACCTAGCTGTGTTTAGAGATTTGTGTTTGTCCTTTGTCCCTTCTTGTTACCCTTCTCCAGGGATTATTTTCGTCGATATTTTCTCTTGAACTTTTTCGTTTTGAAAAAACAGGTGCCTTCCACGTTTGAAAACCGCGGTTACTTCAAAGATTCAGTAAAACGTGGAGTACTACACGCGGGCGCCGAAGGAAGCTCGCGCTGAAACCGGCTGAAACACGCACCGCGATCGGAGAGTGCTTCGCCAGGCTTCGCTGATAGAGCGCACCCAGTGCACCTCTGACAAGGGGGCAGTGGCTCTCCCAAACCCGGAACCAAATCATCCCCGACGAATTTTTCATGGCGCTCCTTTCCTTGAGCCTTCTACTCACCCAAGAGCAGCAGCAACGCAGCTAGCAACGACGCCCTTCCGATATGTTCTCCTCACACCGCCTGGGAGCAAACGCCACATATTCGCACCGCTCGTACCCATTCAGCACGATCAACGGCAAGTATCACGTACTACTACACACACAGGCCAGGCGCGAAGTAGTGACTCTGGGTCATGGTTCGTAGTCGTGTAGTTAGTCACGATAGTCAAGACACCCAAGACACCGACGGTCGAGTAGTAGGCGCTGGTGGAGTTTGAGCTTGAGCGCTTGAGCAGTTCGCCGCGTTCGCCGGTTCGACCAGGTTTGACTTTTGCGAACTTACTTGAACGCAAAAGCGCAAATTTGTCCGAAGTTATTATCACCACTGGCCAGAGATCAATCGGAGAAAGACGAATCTTTATCCGAATCGAGATTCGCGTCCGGAAAAGATAAATGGATGAGAGTTCGGAAAAGATAGATGGATGGATAGACGTTAATAGCTATACCCTTATAACGGGTGGTAGCTTGCGCCGCCTAGCCTAACTCTAAAAAGACATCCGCTGTTTTAAAACCATGGAGAATAGAAGGGTAGGAGAGGGCATGACGTCAGCCGCGTAGCCTCCACAAGCCAAGCTCCCTTGACGACTCGCCTCTTTCTCATTTTCCGCCTTACCCTCCTCACTTATCGGCCCAGCACGTGACCTCCCGGACAAAGCTGCTTGCTTCACGTCTAGCCTTCGATCTGATAAAACGTACCGGACGGAGCGCGCCAAGGAGGTTGGAGCGCGCGCAAGCCTGCAAGGAATGATCCTACAATCAACCATCCATCTCGCACGTGACATGTCACGTGCACCAATCGCCAGGGAGATATGCGATCACACTGGGCACAAGACACATTCGACACTCGATTCGACACCCGATAGAGCTAAATTAATACCCTTGCGCTCCTCCGGCTTGGCCCACTCCCTCCCCTTCTACAAACGATCTCTATCTCCTCCTATCCCCCAACTTTTCTCCCACTCCCCCCCTCCCCCCTGAGAGCCAGTGACAAAAGCGCCCGGTGCGCATCCACAATTGGCCCTCTCCTCCCCCCCACTTTTATTCTCTTCCAACATAACAACGCGATCTCTCTCACTCTCGTTTAAACTGGAGCCAGTGACAAGCGCTCCCGGTGGGTTGCGCGAATATTCGAAATTTCGAATATTAGTTCCGAATAATACACTATTTGATATTCGTTTCGGAACGAACTGCACTATTCGCGTTTTTCAAAGTGTTGATTTCGGCGGGTTAGCCTCGTTGAGTACGCTTCTTACCAAGCACCGGTGCGCTGCGGAGAAGCCAAAGCCGTGCAAGTGAGCTCCCCGGGTGTTGCTTTTCTGCATTACAGCGGTGCTCGGTAAGAAGCACACTTAACGGGGTAACCCGCCGCGATGAACAATGTCGTAATTGCGTGCTCGGAAGAAAAGCATACATCCAAAGCGGGATAGTGCACCCGTGCCAACTGTATTTGAAAATAAATGGAAACTTTGTGAATGTGTATATCTACATTGTAGTAAAAGTTTCAAAATTAAACTTTTATGCAAGAGTATATATACTATGTTAGGCAGAGATGCTTTCATAACCTGTGTTCATCATGCGCTATTCATTCTTTTTTTAACTCGATATTAAAGAAAGAATATTTTATATAGCAAGATTTGTAAATTCACTCAATTGGTATAGTTGGCCGTCTCTATAGGATTCATTTTATGTCAAATCCTTCATTTACTTGTCATCCCAACACATCACACCTTCCGAGGTCACAGTTCATAAATATAGATTAAACTTAGCTTATAAATGAACAAGTGGAATAACCTTCACAGTTTAGCTGGGTTTTGGTCTAAGCATTATGCAATAGTAGTGAATGGCATGGAAAAACTATTCGATATTCGAATCGAAAATATTCGGCCAAAACCACTATTTGCTTCGAACTCAAAATCCACTATTCGCACAAGACTACAATTGGCCCTCTCCTCCCCCCTTTTATTATCTTCATACATAACAACGCTTAGTAGTAGTAGTCGTTTAAACTTCTAACCTCCTTGTTTAAAACCAATTTTCTCCCCCTAACTGCCCTAACTATCACCAGGCAGTGTGGAATATTACCAGGATGACCTTCGGGGAATCGGGCAAAAAAAAAAAGTGAAAGCCGTTTACAACTCCCTGTAACGCCGAATAAGAGCGCAGCTCTTGAGGAGGAGGATGGAAGGGTACTGAAGGGAGGGTATACCCGTCCTCCCTCCTCCACACCTCCTTATCCTCCTCCTCCCTCATTCTTGAATCTCCTCCGGGGGGGGGGGGGGGGGGGGGGGGGGGGGGTTAGTGACCTCGAGGGGGGGGGATCACGTGACTTTTGGGGGTCACATGACTTTTGGGGGGTTACGTGTCCTCGAGGAGGGGGATCACGTGACCTCGGGGGAGTCACGTGACGCCGGGGGGGGAGGGGGGTCGCGCGGTGCATTATGGGACATTTCCCATAATGCACCGCGCAGTTACGCCGACGCCGCTCAAGCCGGAAACGGGCGCCTAAAAACTGCGCCCTAAAAAAAAAAAAAAAAAACTAAAAAACATCATTATTATTGGTGTCTCTTCCCCCCAATACAGTTGTACCCTTGTACCCCCGGCGAGGGAGTCGCCAATTTTCCTCTGGTCAAACCTTGGCGGCGTTACCCCAGCACCGGACCCACTGGGAGACAGGGTTGAGACTTTGGGCCGGAGCCACGCGGGAGGGAGTCCCAATTTCCCTCTGTCCCACCTGTCCCCAGCTGTGCTAGTTGGTTGTCTACCATTTAATTTTCCCTAGATAACTTTCACCAATCATGGTAATGAGTGTTTCACGTTTTCGTGATATTAAATTCATAAATTCTACAAAGCGCACAAAATGTTCCGCTTCGTTTATATTATTTTGAATGTTTGTCGAGAACGGTAGCCAGACATCGCGGGAAAATTGGTTTCGGTTCCGGATTACAACCAAAATAGGCATGTTTTCATCGCCGCAAGAGGTCGATGCCGTACGTGCCGCTCGGTACAGACACAAATTACGGTCATATTGGCACATACCACGCAAGTATGTTCGATTCGATTATCTCCAACGTGTGTCCACCGAGGTGTTGTTATCGGAACACCGGAAACAATCTGAAACTCCTTGCGCCGTACTATTACAGTCTGCTGTAGTGTATTTGTACCTTTCTGGTTAATGACATTCGATTTAGTTACAGTAACGTTTCACGGCCGACTTGCTGCCGAGAATGGAGAAACCGGTGCCGGTACGCGGTTGAAGTTATGACGAGCAACATTCATCTCGCTCTCGCGCCTTTCAGGTAAAGACATACGCAGCTCTAGAGAAGGCAGTGGCGTAGGCAGGGGGTGGGGGTTCGGCAGGTCGAAACCCCTCCCCCCGCGCGGGCCCGCTTGCTCCCCTGCTCACGCAGTCGGTTTTTCACGGGGCATGGAGCAAAGGGGGAGTCCGGACTATGCTTTCGGGAAAAATGTTTGCGGGGTAGAGAATACTCGCATAAATAAAATAGCGGCAACATTTCTTCATTCGTGTATATTTGATGGAATGCGGAACTTGATCTCAGATATAAAGAACGGATATTTCTAAACATTTGTGGGGTGAAGGATGGCAACTTCAAGGCAACGTATGATAAACTATCCTCACTAAAATACACAGTTCAATCAAACCAAAGCGAACATAATAAAGCGAACACATGGTTGTAATATAAAACAATGTCAGTGATCAGTGGCGTAGCCAGGATTTTATTTCGGGAGGGATTCAACGGCATCCACCCCCCCCCCCCCCCCGCCCCCCCTCAATGACGCAGGGTGAGCTCACCGACAGGGACGCTCAGGCAAAGATTAGGGAGGCGCTGTTAAGATAAAACGGGTAACGCTGCATTGTCAATTTTCAAAACGGAGCAGGCTTCATTTAAAGAAATACGGGCATGGTGCTTACTGTTCCACTGTCGTCGTAATTGCAGCCCACCAACTTTAAAAGCTTTTTAACAGCACACAATTCCCTCCGCTTTTTGAGGTCGCACTGCAATATCAGCGCGTGAAGGCCAGACAAAACACAAGGAGGAATACTCTTACCAAAAAAATTAAACAAAAAAAAAAAAAATTCGACACTGAAAATTGAAGCTACCGACCACACACAAACACTAGGGGCCCACCCGTACGAAAATGTCAGTTTCAGGCGGGAATGAAAAAGGCCGGTTCCGCCTAGACCCAAAATTGGGGCACCAGTTTGTACCCAGCCTGGAACCGCGTATTTCCAGCCCCAATTTTAAACCCAGGCGGTGCAGCACTGGAATTCCCGCTGCGCTCACCACTGGACTCCACAAAAGAATTTCGTGCTATGCCCTTAGCCGTTACAACCGAGAGATCGTCGCGATTTCAGACCCAGGCGGACTGGGTCTCAAATCGCGACGATCTCTCGCTTGTAACGGCTAAGGGCATCGCACGAAAGACTTCTGTAGAGTCCAGTGGTGAGCGCAGCGGTAATTATGGCGGCGCACACGGTCGTCCAGGCGTCGTCCTTAAACACAGTGCACGGAACACACACACAGCACGCACAAGCACAGTATCCAGTGTTGAGTGCATCTGGAAGTTCCGGCGAGCAAGCGGTATCCGAGTTGTCCAAGTATTGTCACCAAGCACACCAGCACATCCAAATGCCGAGCCAAACTCCAATGGGTCGGCAGCTTCACACTATATAAAGATTCAAAGCCGAGGTCAGCGGGTATCCATCCAGGGAAACGATGGCCGCGTCAGTATCCGTGCGCCCGCAGCGCGAACGTCACCGCCGGGCGAGCGCCCGCGCCGGCGGCGGCCGGCAGTCCGACGGGAGCGGAGAACCGAAACTCTCGAAGTGCTGCCGCTGACTGCAACAGACAATGCAAGGCGCGCGTCGTCACCAAACACAGTGCACAGAAAACACACACACAGCACGCACAAGCACAGTATCCAGTGTTGGAGTGCATCGGGAAGTTCCGGCGAGCAAGCGGTATCCGAGTTGTCCAAGTATTGTCACCAAGCACACCAGCGCCAAGCGCAATGGGTCGGCAGCTTCACACTAAATAAAGATTCAAAGCCGAGGTCAGTCGGTGTCCATCCAGGGCAACGATGGGCGCGTCAATATCCGTGCGCCCGTAGCGCGAACGTCGCAGCCGGTCGAGCGCCGACCGGACGTCCGACGAGAGCGAACGAACGAAACTGACTCGGAGACAAAGCCAGGCGCGCGCGCCGAGAACACCCGCTCGCAGGAGCGGATCGGATTCACCGATCACCGTGCGATTCCAGTGCGTTGCGTCTCACTGGATCCTACTGGTTACACCCAGAATCGCGCGGATCGGAACTGTCCACAAGTTTAGAACCTCGCAGATCTGAACTGGAACCGCTCCGATCTGACATTTTCGTACGGGCATGTTGAGGGCGAAGGTAATTCTCAACAA